GTATTCTTTTATTCTTTAAATCAAGGTCAAAATACGAATTTCGACACACTCCATGTAGCTCCGCGTTAACCGCTCGGACAAAAACAATAGAAAAGGAAACTGACGTCCAATTAGCCATTTCCAAAAGTCCTGGGTCTAGTCGCGCAAATCCCATGTTGGAGGGACAAGAAATATGGCTGCACACATTTAAATTAAAAATATTTAATGTAAAAAGGAGATACTTCATTTTTGATCATCTAAAAAGTTGATTTTGATAGTAGATACTTCTACTCTTTCACATATTTGACGCCTATCACCATATATTTTGTCCCTCCAAACGATCCCAGAATGCACTGTGATCTCTTTTGGGACAAGGCGAATAGTTCCTTCTTGCCTTCACTTTTTGGACTCGAGTTCTCATTCCAGATATATGTGGAGCTCACTGGGGAAACGTCGCTTCGCGGAAACAAATTTGCCTAGTGGAAAACAGGCTTTATAGACCATATCTGACTCGTATGCGTGTTGTCAATAACTCGTATGGACAGAATTTTGTTAATGGTGGATATAAAATGTACTAAAAATTCGTAATTTTCTCGGACCAATGACTCGCACAAAAAAAATATATCTGCTGCCTTTGTTGTCAGTCTTTCCCACTTTGTATTAAGATACAAACACAACTATATTATACTTAGGCAAGCAAATAGTTTTCTCGGTTGAACCAATAACAAAGATCGAAGTGAGGTTGATAGCGATGTTTAAGTTTATTAGTGAGTGCAGTGGTAATATCAGGTTGGTGTCCACAAACGAACATTCGTCTGTGGAGCTAACTGAAGATGTGTCACCGAGGATAACTGGCATGATGTAACACTTAATAACATACCAACCCACACAACACCTACCAACAGCATGTTGGCCAACCATAATTTATGCTAGAGAATCTGATACTATGCCAGTGAAGCATGTGTAGTGTGCCTGCTGCCTGCCACAGGGGTGCCAGCATCTAATGTCATCTGCGAGTGCCATTTCTACTATAGGCTACCCTCATTCACACACTGCCATCCGTTTAATTTATTAAAGCAATTGAGTGAAAAACAAATTCCGAAAAGACAAGACATCTTGAGAATTCGGCAATATATGATTCAAAACAAGACACAGGTTGAGGCTGTAAATTTTCGACTTTATTTCAAAGTCATCTTCAGGCAGAATGAAATACAATACTTTACATCGGGTCTTTCCTTTCTACCTCAGTAATCCTTTTAATATATGAAACGTTGTAAATATAGCTAAATAATCCATTTTCAGTTTTTACTAATTTCTTTATCATGTTTCGCTTCGCTTGGGTAATCCTTCCTTCCGCCCACATGACAGATGCTCTCTCTGTCTCTGCGTTGTATATATATATATATATATATATATATATATATATATATATATATATATATATATATATATATATATATATATATATATATATATATATATATATATATTTCATATATATATAATTAATTCAGCATCGAACAATACTAGTTCTGCAAGTGTTATGTTAGTTGTGTAATTGTACACTCTGTAATATGTTAAGATGAAAATGTTCTAGAGTGTGTATTATATAATTTCCATACCCAGCGCAAGCAGAAAGATGTTGTCTGTCGCGGCTGGGTCTCGAACCCGCGACCTTCGAATTACCAGATCGACGCTCTACCTCCTGAGCTACACGGTCAGACGGATTTAAGACTGGAAATTATGAAATATATAATTTCCAGTCTTAAATCCGTCTGACCGTGTAGCTCAGTAGGTAGAGCGTCGATCTGGTAATTCGAAGGTCGCGGGTTCGAGACCCAGCCACGGCAGACAACATCTTTCTGCTTGCGCTGGGTATGGAAATTATATAATACACACTCTAGAACATTTTCATCTTAATATATATCGGCTCGGTACTTCGAGCCTTCGGCTCGGTACTTCGAGCCTTCATCAGAAAGTTGGAATGTTTGAATTTTCGCGCTGTTCTCGTTCTTGAAGCCTTTGGGAACGTCTGATTGGTTGATCACGCATTTCGGCTGATGGATTGTTATTGGTTGCCATGGAGTGCGGGTGATTGCAATCATCGTGAGTTGATATTGAGAAGGAAGTTGCGGGTGGGTTAAAGGTTAATGAAGGCGAAACAGGACTTTTGTGCGAGTGTTTTAGTTGTAAGTATATTACAGGAATCAGGGGCGGATCTAGGGTAAGTCCAATCAGTCGCGTGACTGACGTATTTTTTGCAAAGAAATAATTAATTTATTATTTCGAAATTTGAGTAATTAATTCCCGAATATAATATGAAATTCATATCATAGTCCAGTATACGTCTTTACGAGCTCAGTTTTGAATAAATATATGCTTTATCTAGAGCAGCGGTAAAACGCAAGAATCTCGCAGAATCGGGTGGTCGTTATGCTTATTTGATTGGTCGAGAGGTCATTTGGACTTATCTCGACTGATCTGTGGGGTGGCCGGACTGATTTGCACTTTAAGGGAGTCTTTATCAGTCCATTTCGTTCCTTTGATTGGTCAATTTGAAAATATTGTGGGGTGGTCGGACTGAATTGCAACTTAAGGGAGTTTTTTATGAAGTTTTTTAGCGGACAAAATATCTGAAATGTATCAATCGAGTTTATGCGCTATAAATTGATGTTATGTGCTATACATTGTCACATTGATGTTATGTGCAAATACATCGATGTCATAAACCGATACAACTAAAAGATGAACCGATACAACTAAAAGATGAACCGATACAAATAAAAGATAAACCGATACAACTAAAAGATAAACCGATACAAATAAAAGATGAGGAAACGGAAGTAAATACCAATAAAAGATGAGGAAACGGAAGTAAATACCAATAAAAGATGAGGAAGCGGAAGTAAATCGGAAAAACGGAAGTTGAGCGACGCGGCGACATCGTGAATTGGTTGATTTAATAAGAAATGTTGAACAAAGTGTCGCACTCGTTGTGACTCCCCAGACTTTTATTGTCGTAGACTTAGAAGAGTATGAACGCACATTGAGACTCAATGATTGAGTGTTTTAACAACAAGAATCACCGAATCA